CATTAAACTATATAATACATATTATGCATTTCAACTTGCTCAAATTAAATCATATACGTTACGAACCTTGTTCCCCTGTCGACTGTAGCTAGAACCATTTGTCTTCGTGCAATTTAACTATATTCCTCTCCCTTTTCTCCGTTAGCATTAATTTTCGACCTTCTTCCGTCTTTTCGCACATCAAGCCGTTTACCGTTAGAACATTTACTTCCGGTCCCACAGGAAGTTACCAAAACAAAAGCACAAACGTTACATTACGTGAATGTGAACCAGCTATACACATCCGCCGCTACAGTAGTTGTTGTTTTAAACTTGAGTATGAACTTATACAAAATGCAGCAAGATATTTATAAAACAGTTTTGTTGATTAAAAACACTATATCGGATTCATATCGGTATCGGCAGATATCCAAATTTATGATATCGGTATCGGACATAAAAGTGGTATCGTGCCATCTCTACATCAGAGGTCAGCTTGACTCATAGCTGGCTGCTGCTTCTCACACACGTCCATGCCAACTGCACTTGTGCCCAACACAAACCTTTGTGATCGCACTTCCTGGTTACAGTTTCTTATTTTCTCTTGTTGTGGGAAACGAGTTTGAGGTTTTATTTCCACAAAGACTAAAATTCACAAACAGTTGAATTAAGTCATCTAAATAAAGCTCAAGGATCCGGAGATACTGAATCATTTAAGTAAATAAAATTATATTTGTTAATAAGGAAACTTCCTACCGTGCTATCCTTTCAGGTGACTCTCTCAGTTACCACAACAACCGGATCTTTTCCACCAAAGACCGGGACCTGGCGCCCTTCATCACCCGCTGCGCCATGTCTTATCGAGGAGGCTGGTGGTACAAGAACTGCCACGAGGCAAACCTCAACGGCCTCTACGGCATCAACACCAAACACCAGGTAACGTCATCGAGTCGCTCGGACGGATTTTACTTATTTTCAAGGACCTGCTACAACTTTGAAATGGAGCTGGTTGAAGTATAAAAACAAGTGTGTGTGTGCGCGTGTGTGTGTGTGTGTGTGTGTGTGTGTGTGTGTTCAGGGGGTGATCTGGACCGCCTGGAAAGGAAAAGACTTTTCTGTCCCGTTCACTGAGATGAAGCTGAGACCGGCAGCCTTCAGGCCTCCGTCCCGAGGATGAGCGAGAGAGAGGCTGATGATGATGATGACGATGAACTGCTAAACACACATGCTCAGTGTGTTACATGTGTGAACGCACACATTGAAACGGGGAGCTCGGGCTCCTGTTAGAAGATTTGTATAGAGTCAGTTATCAGTATGTTACTGCAGATTGTACAGGTTCCTCCTTTTCGCCAGTATTTTAAAGCGGGGCGTCTTCCTCCATATTTAAAGGCTCAGTTCACACAAATTATATCACGGCTGGGTCCAGTTAGACAGTTCTGGTTTCACATGCAGATGCTCTGAGAGATCAGAAGTCTCAAACTAGAGGCCCTCGTGGCTCCTGATCCAAAGCAGACTGTGAGGCTTTCAGACCAAATAAAAGTCACACAAGATAAAAAAACAACTCAAAACCCTCTTAGAAAGATTACTGGTACCAGTGAGTGCTCGGCTCAGTCAGATCTGATGGATATGAGCGACACACAGGCCAGAAACGCAGCCCACACGTCACTCCCTGGTTTTTCCATCACTGTGTGCCTCAAATTTGAAAAATAAATAAGAACAAAAACATTTTCAAGGACAAAATGATCCAAAAAACATTTTAGTGTTTCAGATCAGATCACAGTGAAATGTAATCAGGCACAGGTCCTGCTTAGAAGCTCGTTTAGCAGCAGCCCCACTTTAAAGCTCAGCAGCGCCCCCCGGTGTTCACTCTCTGTGAGGGTCCTCAGGTGCACTGTGGCCCCGCAGTAAATGGAGACGGGTCTGTGCTCTGTCGCCTTCTCGTTGTGTTAACAAATCTGTTTTATTCCCTGTGTTCTGTATGAAGCCTCCCAATGACTTCAATAATAAAACAAGTGAAACTAAACAGCTGCGCGGGTTCATCTGTTGGAGTCAAGGTTGCATTGTGACTAAACACTCTCTGTTTGCAGGATATGAATGAAATCATTCTTTCTTTTGTTTAATCTTTAAAATGTTGAATATATTAACAAAGAGCGTGTCAGTGCAGTTTGAGCAGTGTCGTTTACTCAAAGTTATTCTCTCTGTGATGCACACAAGGTGTCACTGAGCAAATGTCACAGAAACTGCACCTGGATCAGCAGGAGGAAGAGGAGGAAGAGGAGTATCAGCAGTGTTGGAAAGGTTACTATGAAAATGTATTCCATTTCAGATTACATGCCCCAAAATGTATTCTGTAACGTATTTCGTTACGTTACTCAATGAGAGTAACTATTCTGAATACTTTGGATTACTTAATATATGATCATGCTTTTTACAGCTACATGAATGTGATTTATTACTATTACTGAAGGCTACTCTCCACACCAACACCAGCTAGATTTAAATCATAATATAAATGGTAATGGTCTGTATTTATAAAGCGCTTTACATATCCAGTCATCCACCCAGTCACGCACACATTCACACACTGGTGATGGCAGCTACATTGTAGCCACAGC